GTGGTAAATGACAGCCCAGTCCCTCCTCCTCCTCTATGCCCACTATTGCCCTGATCAGTGCTGATCTGTTCTCTGACAATTGTCGATTATCACAGTGTGAGGAAAGCGCTGCCAATAACCGGCAACTATATTTGCATTGTGATCTGCTGTGTCATTGGACACAGCTGATCATGTGGTAAAAGGCTGCTGTGATTGGCTTTTTACCACATCACGTGATCATCTGTGTCTGTGGGTCACAGCAATTATGGAGGTCGCTGGGGGCCTGCGGGAGGATGTGTTCTGGGAGGACATCATATGACACCCTCCCAGAACTGGACAACCGCTCTGTAGCCGTCATTCGGCTATAGCGCAGTTGCCAAGTGGTTAAGCAGTGTGCATTTAGTATCACTTTAAGTGACACTAAACTCTGGTTTAAAAAAAATAAATCTCATCAGGTATATACAATATTCCTTGCTCAAAAGTCCTTTATTTCTCTCAGCCTCCTCCGAATCTCGTTTTTATGCTGCTGTATTCAGACTTCTGTTAGAGGGTGGCTACAATTATTCTTGATGATCACACTGTTAGGAAGGATGTAGTCACCCTGTGTTGCTCGCTCCTGAGATGGACTAGCAACTATGGACTATGGGATTTGTAGTGTACATAGAGCAGTGCACATACAATAACCACAAAGAACACACACTGCTTGTTCCAAACAAACAATCGGGTGAAAGGGAAGTTCAGGAGCTTGCAGAGGACATTACAAGGAGACAGAAAAACACAGTAACAATTTCATAAAAATTGAAACATAAGGATATTGATTACTGTCACTATAAGGGTCTGGATTGAGGGGGAAGGCCCATGGGTGTGCTGGGGATGGGATCTCACTGGAAGATCATAATCAATTTGGCTAAATTTAGGACTGAAGTCAGAATATTCCAATGAGGAATGGAAAGTGACCATTCAGCTGTAATATATATATATATATATCTATATATATATATATATATATATATATATATATATATATATATATAGGTACTTGGAGATGTATTGACTATATCAACTACCGCTACATTTCTTCATGTTTCTCAAGTTTTATCAGCAATCCCCTCATTGGCCACTGGGTAACTGTCATTTGACAGGAGTAAGAGGAATCTGTGAAATGTGTCATAAATTTTCATCCCTAAACAAGTTTGAGCAACTACTGTACCACTATTCTGTTTCCATCAGTTTTCCTGTATGGCCAAAATAATTGAAGCTGGTTGTCTAGAATGTTTTCCAGACAACCTGTGAAATATCCATCTGATGCTTTTTATATCTTCAGGTCTCTTTTACCTGACAGCTGTCTGTGGTGAGTCCCCTTGCTAGGTGGATTTGGCCTGCTGTATCCTTGTGGTTTCACACTTTTTATTTTTTTGTTAACTGGTTTCACTTTCACTGCACAGTTGGTTCCCTTTGCTGTCAGGCATTGTAGTTCCCTAAATTTAGCCACATTTTCATCCATATTAGTCACATTGTCATATTTATTTGGTTGTTTTGCCTCCTAGAAACCCTTTTGGCAGCTACACCAACTGAGAGATACCCTGTGCTGATGTGCTGCTTCTCAATCAAGAATATGACAGTGTGTGTATTTATATTGGTCATTGTACACCCAATATACTGTATAATTCAATTAAGTGTCAATTGCAGTTGTCTATTATGGCCCTTTGCACCCAACTGTTCATCCACCTCCTGTGTATATCAGATTTTCTTTGTGTAATACTTGTGTTCTGCTCCATTTCCTGTACACCAGGGTTTCTCAACCTTTATAATCTTGGAGGAACCCTTGAGAAAAAGTTTGAGGTCTCAGGGAACCCCTGAAATAATGTTTACATGTACAGCTCTTGGAACGTTGGTGTGATCAGCGAGCTGTTGATATGACAATTATTTTTAGAAATAGCTTTAGGTAATGGAATCCATATTAAAATGTACCTATTTATTGTGAAACTTGTGCTGGCTTTTTATGCACAGATGCTCAATTCTGAGTCAAACTTGAGATAAACCATGTACAGGGGGGCAGCAGTGTGGGGTACAGAGGATCAGGAAGGCACAGTACATAGGCGGACATCGGGGCACATTTTGTGGGGGCTTGGCACATTATATGACGCTCACACAGGAACTGTGCACTACAGCTAGCAGTATCACAACAGCTGCTTCCTTGCCTAGCTCTGCATGTGTCAGCAGAGGGATGCAATCTACCTATCAGTTACCTGTGACTGACGGGCAGATCTTGTGGATTCCCGATTCAGAAACCCTGCTGTACACCATGGAGACTGATTCCTTGTGACGAGCCAAACCTCTCTGTGGTATTGAAATTTTGCTATCATTATCATTAAAGTGATATTAACCACTTGGCAACCGCGCTATAGCCGAATGACGGGTACAGCGCAGGTGTCCAATTCTGGGAGGGCGTCATATGATGTGCTCCCAGAACATGCCCTCCTGCGGTCCCCTGGTGATCTCCGTGATTGCTGTGTCCTACGGACACAGCTGATCATGTGATGTGGTAAAAGTCCAATCACAGCAGCCTTTTACCACATGATAGCTTGAGGAAAGTACTGCATATAACAGGCAATTGTCAGAAAACAGTTTGGCACTGATCATCAGGGCACTTATCAGTGCCACCCACCTGTGCCTATCAGTGCCTCCTATCGGTGCAACCTCATCAATGCACATCAGTGAAGGACAAAAGTTACCTGTTTGCAAAATTTTATAAGAGAAACAAAGAAAAACTTTTTTTTTTTCCAAATGGTTTTTCTCTTTATTTTTGTTAATAGCGCAAAAAATAAAACACACAGTGGTTTTTGAGCTGCAAAATACAAGCTAAAATCCATTTCTCACTATCAGGCTTGCTATGTGCACTGCTTACATTTCATCATTACTTGGTAAAGGTTACTTGCAAGAACACTTTACACAATTTCCCCAGAAATTGTAGATTTTCTAGTTCTTATTATTATAGCCAAATTTACCACCCTAACTCCTCCCACAGTTTTTACACTACATAGACAGTAATATATCAAACCGTGCGGATTGTTCCCGATTGGTGTGCTATTACTTTGTGGAACGTTTCGCCAAATGGTTCACAAAATATCGCGGTTTTTGTGGTGAAATTTTCCCATAGGAATGAGTGGAGCATTTAGAGAGGGACATGACAGAGCTAGAGTGTGGAAGGAAAAATCAGGACATGATTTCTAAACTGCCATCACTCCCTCATTTTCAAGCCCACCTACACAAATCTTATATCAAAACGTTCAGCAATCCCTGTTGCCACTAAAAATGTCCACGGCTAAGTCATAGTCCTGATAGTTTTCACAATATGACCTTTTGTTTGCAACTCAAGCCACCCATTGACTTTCATTGAAACTCCACTCCCAGCCACCTGAAATTTGAAGGGCAATTTCTAAACTGCGACTGTGCCTTCATTTTTAATATTTCAGAGACATACTATGCATCAAAATGTAGGTGTCAGGGCTCCGGGGTGTGACCAGAGGTATGTGACTGACGCAGGGAAACGCAGGCTTCAGATAAGTTATAAACAATATAATTTATTAAAGACTAACAATACAAACAAACGCAGTGCAATACTAAAACATAACACAGTGCAAACGAACCAAACCAAACCACCCACAGATAACAGTACATATAATGCAAGCGTCGTCAGGCAGGCCGGGTCAATAACAATCGGGCAGGTAGGTACAGGGGGTCAGGCAGAGAATGGTCGGGGTCACAAGCCAGGGATAAAACAGGAGAAGTCAGCAGAGGTCTGGATCAGGCAGGGTCAGCAACGAATCAGACAGGAACAGGAATGCAGGAACAAGATACAGGGCCCAGGAAAAACACACACCAAGGCAGAGTCTGCAGGTCTGGCCATCCCTTAAATACACCTGCATGATCAACTTTAGGTGTTTGGCTGGCTGCAGGGTTGAGTCTCTGATTGCCGGGAGCACCCGCTGGCCAGCCCTAGTACTGCAGCCCACAAGGCAGGTGGGTCCCACCATTACTGGCAAGTCCATTCCTGACAGTACCCCCCCTCAAGGAGCGGCCTCAGGACGCTCCAAACAGTCCTAGCTGGGCAAAATGTTCCACCGCCCGGGTCTGGTAACTGGCGGGATATCAGAGACTGGCACATGGGGCAGGACTCCGGCCAGCGGCACACCGGGCAGGACTCCGGCCAGCGGCACACCGGGCAGGACTCCGGCCAGCGGCACACTGGGCAGGACTCCGGGCAGCGGCACACTGGGCAGAGGCACATTGAGCTGGACTCCGGGCAGCGGCACACTAGGCAGGACTCCGGGCAGCAGCACACTAGGCAGGACTCCGGGCAGAGGCACATCGGGCAGGACTCCGGGCAGAGGCACATCGGGCAGGACTCCGGGCAGCGGCACATCGGGCAGGACTCCGGGCAGCGGCACATCGGGCAGGACTCCGGGCAGAGGCACATCGAGCTGGACACTGGACACCAGGGGAGCGGCAAGCACGGGCCCCCAGGCGGAGCGGCGGGCGCTGGGCCCCAGGAGCGACGGGCACGGGCCCCCAGAGGCGGAGCGGGCGGGGGCGACAAGCGTCGGGCGTCCCCCAGGCGGGGCGTCGGGGGTCGGGCCCCCAGGCGAAGAGGCGGGCGCCGGGCCCCCAGGAGGGGCGACAGGCATCGGGCCTCCAGGCGGGGCGCCAGGCCCCCAGGCGGAGCGGCGGGCACGGGTCATCAGGCACGACAACGGGCATCGGGTCACCAGACATCAGGTCATTTGGCTCGCCAGTGGGCACCGCGTCATCTGGCAAGGCAGTGGGCACCGAGTCACCAGGCACGACAGTGGGCTCTGAGTCAATTGGCACGACAGCGGGCACCGGGTCATCAGGTACCGGATCGTCTGGCACGACAGCGGGCACCGGGTCATCTGGCGCTGGATCGTCTGGCTCGACAGCGGGCATCGGGTCCCCACCAGGCATGACAACGGGCACTGGGTCATCAGGCATTGGATCGTCTGGCTCGACAGCGGGCATCGGGTCAAGAGGTATGACCGCGGGTACTGGGTCATCAGGCATTGGATCGTCTGGCTCGACAGCGGGCACTGGGTCATCAGCGTGATAGGATCATCAGGCTGGATCAGTTCATCAGGCTGGGTACAGACATCAGGCTGGGTACAGACATCAGGGTGAAGTGCGGGTGCCGAGGCACCAGGCTGAAACACGGAAGGCAGGTTCTCCGGTTTTGATACTGGCAGGATGGTACTGGTTGGAAAGAATTTCCGCTTTTTTCTGGTTTTAACTACTGGGGCACTGCAAGTAAACGCAGGTCTGAAAACGAATGGAGCAGCTGAGGACAGGGAAGAGCTGGAAGATGGAACAGAGGAGGGAGCAGTTGCTACAGAGGACTTCTTTACCGGGTTAAAGAAAGGATAGGTGCAGCGAGTGGGAGCAGAGGACTGGTATGTTGTAGTTAGAGTATACTGGGCAGTCACTGGGGGTGCTGTCGGGGATGCAGGAAGAGTGCCTTGAGCGGAGAAATGATGTTGTAAGCTGACTGAGGCTGGGTGCAACAAGTCTGACCATGTCTGCAGTATGGGTTGAACAAAGCTCTGTGCTTACACAAAGCCTGTCTGGTCAATGACTGTACTGCGTTTATACAATCTCTTAGTACCTGTTGTGAACATGCAGAATAACGCTCCAGAAAGTAATCCACATCATCCTCTAATAACCATACCAGGGACTCTACCTGGTCAGCACTAAATGGCGGCAAAAATTCATCCCTGCATTCAGGGGTACCAGATGAAACCAACTCAGCACAAACCTGAATCAATGGCTGCACCTCAGAGAATTCTGTGCCCTGATCTACTAGAACATGAGCGATCCGTATACATTCTAGCAGTTCATCCCTGGGCTACTCCTTCAGAGTTTGATAAGCATACTCTCTGTCATCAAACACTAGCAGAGATAAATACACAACCTCATCAAGATCCATCCTTCCCAGCAACAAGCCAAGATGGCTTCCCTGTGCAGCCACTTCTGGTCAGGATTGGCCTTGGTGTAATGTCAGGGCTCCGGGGTGTGACCAGAGGTATGTGACTGACGCAGGGAAACGCAGGCTTCAGATAAGTTATAAACAATATAGTTTATTAAAGACTAACAATACAAACATAAACGCAGTGCAATACTAAAACATAACACAGTGCAAACGAACCAAACCAAACCACCCACAGATAACAGTACGTATAATGCAAGCGTCGTCAGGCAGGCCGGGTCAATAACAATCGGGCAGGTAGGTACAGGGGGTCAGGCAGAGAATGGTCGGGGTCACAAGCCAGGGATAAAACAGGAGAAGTCAGCAGAGGTCTGGATCAGGCAGGGTCAGCAACGAATCGGACAGGGACAGGGACAGGAATGCAGGAACAAGATACAGGGCCTAGGAAAAACACACACCAAGGCAGAGACTGCAGGTCTGGCCATCCCTTAAATACACCTGCATGATCAACTTCAGGTGTTTGGCTGGCTGCAGGGTTGAGTCTCTGATTGCCGGGAGCACCCGCTGGCCAGCCCTGGTACTGCAGCCCACAAGGCAGGTGGGTCCCACCATTACTGGCAAAGTCCATTCCTGACAGTAGGTCTGGGTCTTGTGATTCTCGCAATATAAAGCTCTTCGCTGTAGGATTTTCAGAACGCTGGTAACGTTAACTGTGTAAAGTCACGTTAAAAATGTGTGTTTTCCAGCTTTTTTAAGCATTTTTGCATTAGCATTTAGCAGAGTTTTGCTGCCAATCAGTGCCACCTATCAGTGCCAGTCAGTGCTGCCTATCAGTGCGCATCAGTGCCACCTAACAGTGCCAGTCAGTGTCGCCTATCAGTGCCATGTATCAGTGCTGCCTTTCAGCGCCCATCAGTGATGCCTAGTGGTTTTTGGTTTGTTTAAGAAAAAATTAAAAACCCAGAGGTGATTAAATACCACCAAAATAAAGCTCTATTTGTCACAAAAAAATGATAAAAATTTTATATGGGTAAAGTGTTGCATGACCGCGCAATTGTCATTCAAAGTGCGACAGCGCTGAAAGCTGGAAATTGGCCTGGGCAGGAAGGGGATATAAGTGCCCTGTAGGCAGGAAGGGGGTAGAAGTGCCCTGTAGGTTACGGGTAATAACACAACATTACCACCTTGAGGTTTCCTGGATTTCAATTCTATACTTGTATATATCGAGAGGCTGCACCAGCTACTTCCTGAGATGACAGCAGACACTTAAATTGCCACGTAACAAAGTGCTGGGAGGATTACATGAAGGAAAAATGAAGGCTTTGTTAAAGCAGAATACCCCCCCCCCCCCCACCCTTTATAGTTAAGAAAGCTCTCATTTTACAGGCAGTTGCCGTGGTCCTGCTCCTGTGTCCAGCTATGGCATGAAAATTCAGTTGAGAGCTCTCATAAGCACACTGGTGACAGTTATCAGCAGAGGTATGATTTGAATGTTACTGGCTGAACCTGCCCATTTTCATATCTTTGCAAAGGATTCTGGGAAATGGGTTTTGCCACCTCAGGGTTGATCAAATCTGAATTATTTGTGTTTTTAGATGGTTTATAGAGCCAGAAAGATTATGATGTGATCATACAAGCCCAGAAGAAAGATTTTAATGGTAAATTCAAATTTGACTCTCCATAGGTTGAAATTTGGTAGTTCGGGCGGTTTAAAAAGAGTCTGAGCTTACTTCGCAGTTGGAGAGGTTGGGAAAGCTCAATGACACCAGGTGAGGATCTCTGGGGCCAATTCAGTGACACTGAGGTGAGGATCTCTCTGGCGGAAGTTCAGTGATACTGACCTGAGGGATACTGACATGAGGATCTCTCTGAGGAAGTTCAGTGATTACTGACGGGAGTGATACCGACGTATCTCTCTGGGGAGTTCAGTGATACTGACATGAGGATCTCTCTGGGGAAGTGATTACTGACGGGAGGGATTACTGACGGGAGGGAAGTGATTACTGACGGGAGGGATACCGACATGAGGATCTCTCTGGGGAGTTCAGTGATACGGACGTCAGGATCTCTCTGAGGAAGTTCATTGATACTGATGTGAGGAGATATCTCACTGTTCAGTGACACTGAGGCAATAAAAACTTCTCTGAGCCTAGACCCCATTCCAGAACACTTGGAAGTTGAACATGATGGTTGTTCCCTGTACCTCTCTCTCATTTTTAAGTGTTTTTGCATGGCAGACCCCTTACTGTTATCTCACATATATATATTCTTATTATAGCCAAATTTACCACCCTAACTCCTCCCACAGTTTTTACACTACATAGACAGTAATATACCGAAACGTGCAGATTGTTCCCGATTGGTGTGCTATTACTTTGTGGAACGTTTCTCCAAATGGTTCACAAAATATCGCGGTTTTTGTGGTGAAATTTTCCCATAGGAATGAGTGGAGCATTTAGAGAGGGACATGACAAAGCTAGAGTGTGGAAGGAAAAATCAGGACATGATTTCTAAACTGCCATCACTCCCTCATTTTCAAGCCCACCTACACAAATTTTATATCAAAACGTTCAGCTATCCCTGCTGCCACTAAAAATGTTTACGGCTAAGCCATAGTCCTGATAGTTTTCACAATATGACCTTTTGTTTGCAACTCACGCCGCCCATTGACTTTCATTGAAACTTCACTCACAGCCACCTGAAATTTAAAGGGACGTTTTTAAACTGCGACTGTGCCTTCATTTTTAATATTTCAGAGACATACTATACATCAAAATGTAGGTCTGGGTCTTGTGATTCACAATATAAAGCTTTTCACTGTAGGATTTATAGTTTTAAAACTACAACCATTTGAAGATGGCAACCGCCAGTGAAGTGAGAAAGTTGGAGCAGTGTGTTTATAAAAGCTCCTCTCAGCTTGCTGTGAGTGAATGCCATAGCAACCGAAGGTGAGTCACCAGGAAGCAGAGTGACCAAAGCTACAGTGTGAGCTGCAAAATAAAAGTTGAAATGCATTTCTTCATGCTTGCCATGTGCGCTGTTTACATTTGATCAATCACTTGGTTAGGGTTGGATGCAAGAACACTTCACACAATTTCCCCAGAAATTGTATCTTTTCTAGTTACTCTTGCTCTAACGTTTGCGGCGATACTTCACATGGGTGGTGTGATTGCCATTTACATATGCGTACGGGACCAAGGCATGCGTTCGCCTTTGCACACGAGCACAGGGGGCGGGGACTCTGTAAATATACTGGTGCACTTGTACACTGTGACAGATGTTGATCGTCCATCAGTGGGCACCAGTAGATGCTGCAATGGAACACAATTGCAGATGTTTTGTGCACTCCTACACTGTGACAGATGTTGATGTGACACTGGTATACTGTGACACATGTTGATTGGACACTAGTACACTGTTATAGATGTTTTGTGCACTGGTACATATGTTGATATGACAACAGGGACCTGGACAGGGACAGATGGTGCTTGGTGTACTGTGTGTGGATGGCTGCAATCTGTGTTCTCTGCACAGCTGAACACTCAAATCATCAGTTATGCAGAGAGCTGTCCAAGGCGGCAGAATCCCCCTCTGGGGATGCAGACTCAGTATACTGTCTGCCCATACCTTGTACGGAAAGGCAGTTACTGAATGATGGGATCAATGAACTACCTAGAGCCATCATCAGCACCCTGGTAGTTCACTGAGAACTACAAGGCATCAGCTGCAAAGGCTGGCGGTAGTCGTAGTTTTTCCATTTATAGAACACTGTGAATGAATGATGCTGCCGGGTGGGCGGTTTTTTCAAATAGTGACTGCTATCAGGAGTAGATCTGTCACAGGGAGGCAGTGGATTGGGGAGAAGCTGCAGAAGTGGTAATATGTTACATGTTCCACCCTAAAAATGGGTGAAATATATAACATGTTCCCAAAGATGAACGTATGCTTTAAATGTATCAATTATTGTGTTTTTGTGTTTGCCTAGAGTTCTGCTTTAATATCTATTGAGCAATGAGACTCTTTGCCCATTTGTAAAGCAGCTCATTGCACAATAGTTAATGAAAATAAATATATTAGGGACAGTGAACTCTTATTACATATTCCCTTTGACACAGTATCGCACGCTGCATTCATCATATATGACCAGAGGGTGAAGCCTTAAAATATGTGAGATTTTAAACTGTTGAAATTGTTTTTCAAGTTTTTTTTTTTTTTTTTGGGTAAACATTTGTAGGCTGATGTCAGTGACAGAACGAGAAGAGCAAATGAAAGAAGTATCTCATTCTGTGTGACATTGCATGGTATTTTTAGTAGCAAATCATGTGTAAATCAGTATGGGACTGTTCTGTAACATGCTGTTCCTGTACATTTGATTATTTGCTGTAT